AGTCTATTTTTTTAACGGAGAGTGATCTGATTGAATCAATTAAAAAGTTTGGTGGTCGAATTGAGATAAAAAATAATTCGGTAGCAAGATTGATTAATGACCATAATTTGGTGGTCTCCCGTATAGTTTATCCTTAATTCTAACCTAAAAGATTGCCCCCATGGTGTTTCTTCTTAACATGAAACCAAGCAAAACCGACATTCAATCTTTGATGAATAATCGGATAAAGAAAACAGAAAGAACACAAGAATTTTAATGATGTTCAGCAATGTGCTTACGTCTTCGGTGCCTTAGGCGATGCTAGTTTTTTTTCCATTCAATATCTCATAGGTTTAGGTTATATCTCTTTTTATATTAAATAAACCTGGTACATATTTACAAAAATAACCCTGTAACATAACGCATGGGCGCCCAACCCACATAATCGTAACCCCACCTACGAGACTTTCTTTATAAGGACAAATGATATTCACTCACTCCACTCCATCCTCTATCATCTTTATCGGTATATTTATGAGTCATACCAAACAAAACTCCACATTGGCGAATTTCATACCCCTTAGGAAACATTCATTGTGGGTTGGGTTACCTTATTTAACAACTCGAAACATTCAACAAATCCAAACAATGCATGAACTTGTCTGTCGTAACTGGCTTAGTGAACATATCAGCAACATTTTCATCAGTATGTACCTTCTTAAACAAAATATCTCCAGATGCAACCAACTCTCTGATCTTGTGAAACCTTACATCAATATGCTTAGTTCTAGCACGATATATCTTATTCTTAGCCAAGTAAATAGTACTTTGATTGTCGCAAAACAACTGAATTTCACCTTGCTGAACACCCAACTTCTTCACTAAACCAATAAGCCATAAAGCTTCTTTTGCTGCTTCAGTCGCTGCCATGTATTCAATTTCAGTTGTAGATAATGTCACAACAGATTGAACAGTAGATTTCTAACAAATAAGCCCTCCACCAAGAGTAAAGACATACCCTGTCGTAGATCTTCTATTATCCAAGTCACCCCGCATAGTCTGAATCCACATATCCGACAACCAAAGAATTATCCTGCTGACTACCAAAAATAATTTCATGTCCCACAGTACCCTTTAAGTACCTAAAGATCCACTTGACTGCTTCCCAATATTGCTTACCAAGTTTAGACATGTACTTACAAACTTGACTAACATCATTAGCAAAATCAGGACGAGTACATATCATTGCATACAACAAGCATCCAACAGCATTAGAATACGAAACCTGTCATATCTTCAGCTTCCTTATCTGTCTTAGGACACTGTTTTGATGAGAGCTTAAAGTGATTCGCCAATGGAGTGCTCACTGGTTTTGCGCTGCTCATCGCAAACCTTTCTAGCGTTTTCTCAATATAACCCCGTTGAGATAGCCACAGTTTCCTTGAGTATCTATCCCTGCAAATTTTCATTCTAGGAATTTTCTTTATAGCACCTAAATCTTTCATATCAAATTCCCGACACAATAAAGTTTCCAAACCGATAACATCATCCATGTTCTTTGCAACAATTAATATATCATCAACATACAGTAACAGAAAAATAAAAGAACCATCATTAATGCTCTTAACATAGACATAACAATCATACTCACATTGCTTGTAGTCAATCTTGATCATATAGGAGTCAAATCGTTTGTACCATTGTCTCGGAGATTGTTTCAATCCGTACAAAGATTTCTTCGTAAACTAAATGCTCGTTTCCAGGTTGAGTGAAACCTTCAAACTGCTGCATGTAAATCTGCTCCTCTAAATCATCATGCAAAAAAACATTTTTAACATCTATTTGCTCTAAATGCAAATCTCAACTAGCCACAAATACAAATACTGCTAGGATTGAAGTGTGTTTGACTACAGGAGAAAAAATTTCATCATAACCAACTCTTTTCTGCTGTGAAAACCCCTTTGCTACCAAACGAGCCTGCAACTTCTCCCCCTCATTTTCTGTTACCGCTGGTTTCTTCTTATACACCCATTTGCAACCAATAGGCTTCTTATCATCAGGAAGACAAACTAACTCCCATGTACGATTGTGATTCAAAGACTTCATCTCCTCAACCATGATAGCCATCCAATTGTCGTTTTCATGACAAGTAACATCATGAAAAGTAACTGGAATATCACTGCTAACAGTAAGTGCAAAAGAGACTAAGTCTTCAAAATCCAATCTCTTCGGAGGCTTTATATCTGTCCGTCTCAACATGTCTTTGGTGATACTATAATCATGTAAATCATCCGTACCAGAACTACCAGAATTTAGTTGAGAAGTTTATGTTTTCTCAACTGAAAATTGCTCGAAATCCGCCACTATCGTGTCTTTCTTCTGTTCAACATGGATTGTTCATCAAAAACATCTCTACTGATCACAATTTTCTTCGCAATTGGATCTCAGAACTTGAATCCTTTGACACCTTTCTTGTAACCCAGAAAAATGCATACCTTCGATTTTGCATCAAGTTTGGATCTCTCATCAGTAGGTACATGCACGTAAGCAGGACAACCAAAAATCCGTAAATGATCAAAAGTAACTAATGACCAATCCATACCTCTTCTGCAGCTTTCTCACCCAATGATGCCCTTTGTGATCTATTGATAAGATAACACGTCAAGTTAATAGCCTCAACCCAGAAGTGTTTGGGAAGTCTCGCATTCAACAGCAAACATCTGGCTCTTTCATTCAACGACTTGTTCGTCTGTTCCGCAACATTATTCTGTTGTGGTGTCTTGCGCACTGTAAAATGCCTCTTAATCCTATACTCTTAACAGAAGTTTAGAAACTCTAAATATGTGTACTCCATACCATTGTCAGACCGCAAACACTTGATAGTTCATCATGTTTGGTTTTCTACCTCAACTTTCCACAGCTTGAACTTCTCAAAAACGCTAGACTTCTTTTTCAAAAAATACACCCAAACTTTCCATGAAAATCATCAATAAAAGTAACATAATACCTAGATCCACCCAAAGACGATGTCGTGGAAGGCCCTCATATATCAGAATACACATAATCAAGAATCCCTTCAGTTGTGTGCTTCCCTGTCTTGAAACGAACTTTAGTCTGTTTACCAAGAACACAATACTTGCAAAAATCGAGCTTACAGCTTTTAACACAATGCAACATATTTCTTTTATGTAATTCAGTCATACTACTTTAACTAAGATGAGCAAGACGCATATGCCACAGTTTGGTAGTATCATCACAGGACTCAATAGAATGAACTCCGCCTACAACGGTATTCCATAATAATCTGTAAATATTCCCTGCAATCATATTTTCGTTCATCACAGTCAAAACTCATTTAACAATCCGAATGGTTTCCCTATCCTTATCAGCTTCAGGGGTAAAACTATTTTTGTGCAAAGTGCTCAGAGAAGTCAAATTCTTCTTCAAATCTGGGATATGTCGAACACCACAAAACGTCTGAATAGAACCATCATACATCTTAATTCTGACATCACCAATACCAACAATATTGCAACATCAATCATCACCCAAATAAACTGAACCGAAATTAATCGACCTGTATGTCGAAAATCATTCCCTATTTGGTGTGATATGATAAGAACACCCAGAATCAAGAATCCAAACATCCGTCAATTGAGTCGTTGAAATAGAGAGCATATCACCCTCACTGCAACCAGAATTGTCATCCTCGACCACATTAACAGACTTGGATGAGTTATCACGCTTATCATCAGTCTACTTTTTCAACTTCAGACAGTCCCGCTTCATATGTTTTCGCCTCCTTGCATTTGTAACAATGAGTTGTCTTCTTATCCCTAGATTTGGATCTGAAGTTCTGCTTCCTAGACCCTGCCTTCTCTGGCTTCCGTCCACGGTCTCGATTACCTTCGACATATAAGCTACCAGCTTAAGAGCTTTCATCTGCATTCTGCTTCTGCTAGTTGTGAGCCAACAAGGTTGTAGTAATCTCCTCAACTTTTATAGTTTTTTTTATATGTAAGAATAGTCACCATGTGTTCATAAGAGGGAGACAACGAACACAACAAAATCATTACTTTATCTTAATCCTCAATTTTCACATCAAACCGAGCCAAATTAGAAACTATTTGATTGAAGACATTCACGTGTTGCGCCAAATCATGATCCTGCATCTTCAACCCATACAGCCGCTGCTTTAGATACAGTTTAGTCATTAAGGATTTGGACATAAACTGATTTTCTAACTTCTTACAAATTTCATCTGGAGACGACAGATGCATGACGTGATATATGACCTCGTCCGCCAAACATAATCGTATGGTTCTTGCTGCTCTCTGTTACAATTCTTCCCAATCTTCCTCCTCCATCGACGCCGACTTTATAGGTCGCAAAGCCTTTAGGATCTCTTGTTGTGCCAACAGATCCTTCACCCTTATTTGCCATAATCCGAAATTACCCTGACCATCAAATTTCGAAACTTCGAATTTGGCTCATGACATCTGATACCAATTGTTGAATAATCAGGTAAAAAAATAGAAATAACACAAGAATTTTAACAAGGTTCAGCAATGTGCTTACATCCTCAGTGCCTTAGGCGATGCTAGTTTTTTTCATTCAATATCTCATAGGTTTAAGTTACATCTCATTTTATAATAAATAAACTCTGGTACTTATTTACAAAAATAACTTTGTATCATACCGCGGGAACTACGCCCCTGCACCCCCAACCCACATAATCGTAACCCTCACTAAGAGACTTTCTTTATAAGGACAAATGATGTTCGCTCACTCCGCTTCGTCCACTTTACCGGTATATTTATGTATCATACCTAACAATATTTTTGTACTTATTATGAAGTTTCCATGTCTTGACCAACACAATTATGTTTTAATCTGTGTTGTCTTCCTTTGAGATAAATGCAGAAATCCTCTTAATAAACAACAGGTTTCTGACGCTTTGTTTTTGTATAGAAAAACTCTTGATTCTTAGGTTTTTTTCTATTGCAATAATTGTCAAGAGAAGGGTCCATTGAAACTGACAAAAGGAAAAGTAAAAAAAGGGGTAACAGTACTCTCTCTAACAGGCCAAAGTATGGTATATTTTATGACAGAATTTGGGCCCTCCATACGTACAATCTGTCTTACCCGTGCATGTATGTACTCGTGTGTCTAATGAAAAAAAATATGGAACCATGAGAGAGACTTTTGCATTTCCAAGAAACAAGTCAAATATTTTGGCTTTGGGGAATCCCCACTTTTGCAGATGAAATCAAAATAATCCTAGCCGTTGGATGAAGGAAGAAAAAGGTCAATGTTTATGTATGATACGTACCATCAACTGGTGGAGGGCAATCACTGAGGAATCTGACAGCTAGGGTCATCGCCATGGGAACACTCTCTTCCCCAGGGATCATCATCTCTATTATGTTCCCACTGATGAAATCCAACGGCAGGGATTGCTTCTCGCTTGCCTCTTCACTGTCTCGTAACCGCACGTCCACTGCATCCTTGGCCATTTCCTTTTCGTCCGTTTTCTCCCTAGCCGATTTCCTCTCTTCCACTATCTTTTTCACCATTTTCAGTAACCTTTCTTTGGCCTACAACGAACCAAACCTACTAAAAGAATTTATCAACGAAACGAAATAAAAAAATGCTAAATAGATATCTATTCACCTTCAGAGATCTATATAGTCTTGTTCCTGGTAATTTGACGGGAAAACAAATTAAACCTTTGATGAATTCATGGAATTCTCTCTTCAGAAAGTCCAAATCTTCATCAGGACCAACACTCATCAAAACATTGACCAGAGCCTCGAATGTTATCCGACATTCCCAGGAACCATAGTCAAAGATATATTTTTGGGATTAATTATATATGTTTGAAGAACGAACCTTTTTGGTTTCTTCTTGAACATGTGACATCTGCATGTGTTGCCAAGAACCCAGGATTAATCTGACAGAGTTTTCATTGTGCCTCGTGATACGGGCCTTCAGCTGTGGGGATCACAAGAAACCTCCAATGAGTGCCTGGAGTCGCTTCAGGAGATTACCATTCATTTGAAGTATGGAATGTTCGCCTAGCAACTGTGGGAGGGATTTGGGATAAGCAGGGACGAAGGTGTTGCCATGGTTCTGCAAAACCGCCTTGTTTACATCGGGATCTGTGGACACAATGATAGGTGTTCCCAATAAGTGTGTTTTGAACGCCTTCCATATCTGGAAAAAAAACAACCAAACATAAGCAAAAATAGTAAAGGATTGAAGCTTGCAGTTGCAGCAGTTTGAAACTTGGTTTTCAATTGCTTTTGATTTTTTGTTTTAAGTTTCATTGATTGAAGCCACCCAGAGTCCAAATGTGGAAAACAAAATGGTGGGTTTTCATTGAAAGCTGAAAACAATGGAGAATAGCTGCTGGGGATCACTGCCTGCAACAAGCAATGGAGCTTCCACCACTATGGCAATTTCCCATAGTTCGTACTTACTTGCAAGCTTTAATGGCTTCCGTCACCTTCCTTTTTCAAGCTATGGATGCAATCGGAGCAGGTATCTGTCGTTGCTCATTAATGAGGAATTTCCACTTGGAACTGTGCCATTTAATGAAAAAAATAAACTCTTTTTTATGGGCAAAATGACATGATATTTCATTTTTTTTCAATTGTTTTCGTTAATAATCTTTACTAAAGATTATCTTTATTCTTTTATGTATCTGAATTACAAATAAATTATACTGATATAAAAAGGGGTAGATTATTTTCATTGGACAATGAGGAAATATAGAAAGCTACTCTTACTACTACATGTTAAATTGCAAAAAAACTCAAATAATAATATAAAAAAAGGATAATAAATAATAAATGGTTACCCCAGAAGTTTATATTTTTTAGTTAGAGTTGCATGTTACATTATTTGATTTGATAGATAAGGGGATTATTTTTATATATAAGAATAGTACTTAAGAAATGATTGTATATCTAATAATTGATAATGCCATTGTCATGCATTTAATCTAACTGCAAAATTTAGGAACAATGATATACCCTTTCTTGATGTTTTTTTCGAAAAATCACCGGTGATCAATATATTTATCGATTTAACATCGGTCAGATTATATTTTTTGATCTAATATCCGTAGAAGTAAAATGCCCCCTTGTCCTACGCTATATGCTGATTTGGCGTCACATGGGGTATAGCGCCCCCTGTCCCGCGCTATACGCTGACATGGGTTACACGTAGGTATAACGCGGCCCCTGATCTGCGCTATATGCCACGTAGGGGTATAGCGCGGATCAAGGGCCGCGCTATACCTGATTATCTGACATGTGGGGTATAGCGTGATACAGGGGCGCGCTATACCTTTAATTATCCACCCGTCCACACCTCAATCCTCCCTATAAATACCCCATCCTCAATCACTTTCATCACACCAAATTCTCTCAAATACTCTTTCATTAAGGTATATTTTATAATATTTTTAATATTATATATTTAATTTATTTAAGTATTTTACTTTATTTAATATTTTACTAATATAATTCTTTTGCAGATATATAATGGAAGGCAGTCTACTTCGTTTGGGTGGAAATCATATATCTCGACACTTTGCTGATACGGTAACATTTTAATGTTTTAATTTAATTTAAATTATTAGTAATAATTAGTTGATTTATTTAATGCATGATTATTAGATTAAGAATTAATTTTTGTAATTATTTATTTTTAGGAGAATGATTGTGTATTAGATCCTTTTATTAGGAATCTTAAGTTAGTGATACTTAGATGTGTCTTGTCGTATTTAGTAGATGCTGGAACCAGACCTTATTTCGGCCTTAGTAGAGCGGTGGAGGCCGAAGACCCACATATTCCATCTTCCGTGCGGAGAGTGCACGATCACGCTTGAGGATGTTTCTATGCACTTGGGGATTTCGGTGGATAGAGATGTGATATCAGGGATAGTTTTCGGTTCTTGGATTACTTTGTGTCGGGATAATCTAGGACGTGTCCCGGAAAGTTTTATCGGATGTAGGATACCGTTAAATTGGTTAGATGCCAATTTTCGGGAGTTGAGCGCAGACGCCTATGAGGATGATGTTAAGATGTATGCACGGGCATGCATATTGCAGTTGATAGGAGGGTTGCAGATGCCAGACAAATCGCACAACCTAGTTCACTACATGTGGTTGCAACATCTTAGCGACTTTCGTCTCGCCGGATCATTCAGTTGGAGCTCGATAGTTTTAGCTTTGTTGTACAGGGAGATGTGTGGAGCCACTGACTACAGGCGTAATGCTATCGGCGGATGTCTCCTACTGCTGCAGTATTGGGCATGGTATCAATTACCCTTTTTATGTCCCGTTGTGAAGAACACATTCGTATTTCCACTACTTCTGAGGTAATTATAAAACTGATTTTGTATATTAATAATTTTATACAGCGTATAATAAATTTTTTTTCTTGAATAGGTGGTCTACTGATAGGAAAAATCATCAGAAGCTACCTGATGATTTAGAAAAAATTAGGGTGCTAATCGATCAGAAGGCTGACACACAGGTATGAATTTTAATGTTTAAAAATCGATTTTAGATTATAGTTATATAATTAGATTATTATTTTGATAAAAATTATATTATTTGTTTTAGTTTGAATGAGTGTCATATTCTACTGATGATGTGGGGACGGTGATCCCACCTAAGTTGAGGGGTCCATCAGATGTTTGGATGGCGATGGTCCCTCTGATCTGTTATGCGACCGTCAAGTGGCACTCCACTGATCGCGTGCTCCGGCAGTTTGGTTGTTTTCAACCAATTCTGGAAGCACCTCGCAATATGGACGAGTTGCATAGCTTAGATAGACGCGACAAGACAGATACAGATTGGCTGGTGATGCATCATGAGTGGGTCGTGTTGTGGGAGGATCGACATCGGCGCTTTCCCCGTAGAGAGCCCATTTTTACTGACTTCTTGATGTATGCTGAGGGTTATTATGAGTGGTTCAACAGTAACGGGAAACCGTTTCTACTTCCGATGATGCACGATGACAGACCTTTCCACGACGTCGACAGAGACGTTCACCGACACAACACCATCGTCCCTCGACTCGTGGACGGAGAGTAGGTGCTTCCGATTCATCCTCAGCTGCACCAGCAGGACCTTCACAGCAGCCACCGCAGCCATTTATGATGCCTTAACCATATATGATGCCGCCATCGCCTTTCTATTACCAGATGTCGCCGCCGCCACCTTCACCTGGTTTTATGACCCCGTCGCCGCCACCGTCACAGATGACCCCTCCTGGAGGCTATTATGGGTATGTTTGCATATCTGACTTGGGGTTCATATGCTGAATATTTGGCGGGTTCAGCCTCATCACCCATGATCGCAGTACAGACACCTCCTATACAGTTTTCACACTCAGCAACGTCTGGGTTTTTCCAGTTTTCGCAAGCTGGTGAGATAGTCAGTCATACACCTCCAGGGTCCTTATTCTATGGAGGTGCTTCATCGTCATCAGCTCCTCATCAACCTAATGTATCTGCTCAAGACGATGACGACGACGACGATGGTGATGATGATGACAACGAGGAGTCAGAACCAGTGATACGAAGAAATCCTTCTCGAGACCGACAACCACCGCCCTACGGAACACATTCGCGTCGAAGACATCGATAGATTTTTTTATTATATTTGTATTTACTTTATTTTGTTAAATTGTAATTTTTTATTATTTCTCATTTAATACTTACTTTATTTTGTTAATTTGTTGGACTTTTTTTAATGTATTTCAGTTAATTTTGTTTATTACCATTTAATATCAGTTATTGTAATTTGGTTATCATTTACCATTAATACTTATTGTAAGTTTGTTGTATTTAAAATTATATTCAAATACCAATTTGGTTATCATTAACTTGAAGTAAATGCAAATTAAAGTACAATAATTATTATTTGATAAACAAATACATCATTTCCTCATCAATTGTTACTTGATGACAACAGAAGTGGACATGTTTTCTCGTGTGTCTTGGGTTTCTACAATGCTCATATCTTCTGTCTTATCTAGATCTTTCTCGAATATCCATATTGCAATGAATTCAATTGGATTTTGGATGACCACGCTCCCTCAATAAACTCGAATTTGGTACAATCGAAAGCCAATCTTGAACCTCATCAGGGTCTTTATCATTACCTATGGGGGGAAACTCAAATTCATATACCTTGAAAACTTCAGATAATAGGTATACGAGATCCACAAAATGGTTATAGTATTGACGTATGTGCGAGCAAGCTGCTATCACATGAGAGCATGGATACTTCAGAGCTTGAAAAAAACATGCAGTCGCACGTTCTGTCCCTTAGATTTACTCTTAACGACACAGCTTCAATCCCTTGAAGAGGTCGCGGTAACTCTGTGACACGAAACATTTCATGCCTTCTAGAGAAGCTTGTTACAGACATTCCATTTGATGCAACAATTTTTTTCTGTAGATCTGCAACTAATCTAGGGTGATAGACATGACCGCCTTCAATCCAGGTTTGAGCTTGTCCCCTGAGCTTCGCAAAAAGTGCCCCCAAACGAAAATATATAGTTTTTACCAAAGCCGTTACAGGTAAGTGATGTGCACCCTTTAAGGTTGAATTGATTGTCTTAGCCAAGTTGGTCGTCATGTGTCCATATCGATATCCATCATCATATGCGTTCGTCCACATTTCTTTATCTATGAGACTGATGTAATCGTATCATTCCTCGTTCTTTTCCCGTAAATCTTGAAGCATTGATTCAAACGTTCGGGGAAATAGTTCGTAACCTGATCAAAAAATGTATAACTTACTAACTTGTTTTCTTTGCAAAATTAAAATGATCAAAA